CACCACCACCACCCGTAAGTAAATGATCCACTAAATCAACTTTAACACATTTTACTATATTCATTATTATAGAACTGTATGATGAGATGAGGAGGTCAAATACAGTCCACCTGATTCCACATTTTTGTCTTTTCTTCCTCTGTTTCTATACGTCGGCGTGATGGAGCCTCACCACTGCAGTTCACACTGAGCCAGGCAACAGGAAACTTTAGTGACGGCCACTGAGTGACAAGGTAAAGCAACATAGAACACCATTTCATTTCTTTTTTTCTGTCATTGCCTAAATTTCTCCATATTTATTCTTTATAAACAAGTCTCCACACTCCACGTCAGGTTCTGAAGTCATTGTCTTTGAATTACTCTCTTTTTTTAGCCCCAGAAGCTCTGGATCATAGTCAGCAGAAAGAGTGAGTGTTGTTGGTCAGCATTTAGCCAGCAGTATACTCCAAACAAACAAACTTGATTTTAATGACTGAAATGATTTTAAATAGATTTTTCGTAACATTCTGCAGTTTAAATGAACAAATTCTCATCACTGCAAAACACAGTAAGTTGTGAAGATGAATGTATAAGTAATGTTTTTCTGCACTTTTCATAATCTCTAAGCTGCTGTTGGACCAAGTTATTTAATGCTGATCATTAAAATAAATACATCAATTAGAAAATATAATATTTTGTAATTTTATCTCATCACACCAACACATTGACATACACTGATGTATTTCTTTTACCTTTTTGGTTCATTTACTTTTGCAACAGAAACATTACAGAAACTCTACATATTTAGTTTTATTCAGTTCAATTGTGAAAGTAAACTTGTAAACTTGTACACATTGTTCTCATCTGTAGTGGATTTTTTAATTTCCTGTTTTTTTTCCACTAGAAGTGCAGTCCGCCATCATGTTTCCATGGCAGCGAGTTTATAGATTCTGAACATATTAGCTTCATGTTAAAGCGACGTACATGTTAGTTAGTTGTTACTAGCTTATAGATTTGCGGCGCAACCAAATTTAGTGAAAGGATAGTTTGAAACTCACTAGTCTTTAATGAGAACTTAATAAAGACTTTACACGCTTAATTGATTACTAATTAATAGTAATAGTATATTAATTAAGTGTCTCAATATTGGACTTGGTAATTTACTGCATTCTTTGTGCTGCTTGTGCTGCCTCAAAATTCTCTCTGCTCCACCTCATCACACATACTGAACTTGCAAAACAAAGTAAACTAGAAATCTGTCTGTTCAGAACAAATCAATTAAAAACAGCAAAGTATTTCAATAATGTTAAACAGTTTGTTTGTTTCATGGTCATGGTATTAATTACAGCAGGCTATTCAGCTCTGGGCCAGCACAGTTATGTGATTTACTCTTGCATTACAGTGATATCTTGGCTGCTTTTCCATGAAGTATCTTCTCTTGAATGTTATCAATTGTAGTAACTGTATTATAATCTCACTGAAGAATTCCTCCATCTAGCAGGCCAGTTTGGAGTACAGCAACAACAACCCACCACTCAAATGTACAATCATTATGTTTACAATGCTTTTACATGTTTACAAGTCCTGAGACTCGACCTGTTCACTGAGGTACTTTGCAAATGCTTTCACTGACCTTTTATTCTGTCTAACAGGTTTGGAGGATTCTAGATGCAGAGAAGGCTGCAGAGATCTTGATGTGGAGATGGCCTTGTGGAGATGTTATGGAGATGGCCGACTCTTAAATGGAGGAGTTTAGCAGAAGTTCAGGCATTAAGAACCTGGAACCTGTGGGAGACGTCAGATTTTCTTCCCAAGTGCTGAACTTAAAACCAGATTGTTCCAGTTGTTGTGGCTGTTCAGTGCAGCAGCTTCACCAAAATATATCAGTTAATATAAGTTACAGTTGTAGAAACATCTTAGTAGTTATACGTTGCAATTAGGTGTTAAAAGCTACTGACCAACAACTACTTTTCTGTTGTGGTAACCATCCCTAATAAACACAAGAAATCAGTTAAACAACAGAATCACAATTGAGTCTCCAGATTAATATGTTTATTTAGGAATCATGGCCAGGGAGAAGCTCCTGGTAAAAACCAGAGACGTCCATCTGAATCAAAGATTACAGAAGGTTTCATAGTCCCCTAAAAGGGTGTATTTCATTGGTCCATTGGTTAAATCTGATTATTATATGAATATACAGGAGAGTGTTAATGTATATGCATAGTAAATGAGAAGGAAGGAAAGCAACCTGCAACCCCAGGGACAGTAAACAATGGTCTACTGTCACATTATCACCTAGCTAGACTCTTGGATGAAACACAGCAATACAATTTATGTCCAAATAGAAGGAGGAGATGGGAAACTCCTTCAATTCGTGGCTCACTCACACAGTCCAAAACTCCAAAAACGGTTTGAAGACACTTAGAAAGGGAGATGAAATGTTCTCTATTAAGAGAATTGTGTGATTAACTATAAGGTCAACAATTAATAAGTGAGATCATTATTTCAGTAACCGCACTATCGTACATAATTTCTGAATACAGTATTTGATGCCTTAAAAACAAAATGGCTTCACATACCTTTGGGAGTTTGGGAGGACCACACCTGAAGCTCCGCCTCCTTCCAGTCTAACGTTCTATACATTTACATCTCTACCTTCCATTTCCTGTGAAGTTTCTGCACCTCACCACCTATATTGAGGCCACAAATTACTATACTGAGGCTACGGTTAGAAACTGTGACTACATATACCTGGATTAGATTAACATTACAGAAAAATATATCATTTGTTTCTATAGAGTTACAAATGCATTAAAATAAAGAAATTCAGACATTTACGCACAGTAACGCAGCATCGCCTAAATCAGGGGTGCACAACTCTGGTCCTGAAGGGCTGATGTCCAGCACAGTTTGGTATTTTTCCTCCTCAAACATCCCCTCTAAATTAAACCTGTCATTTACCAGAGTGTAATTAGGTGTGTTTGAGCAGGCAAGTCACCCTCCAGGACCGGAGTTGTGCACCCCTGGCCTAAACACAGTAAATATGTCGGCAAATATCTGTTTGAAATACTGATCAAATCTAAACATACTTATGATGCCAATATATTTTTTAAAATCTTGCACAGTCGTGCATCACTAGCTGTAAGAGTGCACTAACAGTTTTCATTTTAATTCTCTGAAAATTAAGAGTTTAGTTTCAGTTCAGTTTTTAATATTTTGGTGAATATTTTGTCAGAAACTGGAGTGAAACACCAAACACACACACACACACACACACATCATCTAAACCGCTTATCCTTCTGAGCTGCGGGGTGCTCAAGCGTAACATCAAACAGACGTCTGAATCTTTGTCATTCTGTAGTTGGCGTCATGCCAGTATTTGAGACTCCAGGTCAAAGTAGTTTTTATCTGTGAAGAAAATGACACAACTGTACCCTGAACTGGCATCATAAGACTCACAACTTCACCAAAATACCCACACAAACCAGCAAGCTTTGTTACATTAGATACTTAAGATGCTTTGTCAGTGAGCATAGAGTTTGGAAAGCTAACATTGTTATACAATACTGTTAAAATATAGCAGCAGATGGAATTTCAATGTGCAAAGTGTTTTCTTACTTGTAGCCTGGATGTACCGTTATTCATATTTATACTGCTCAAGGATCTCGGCTGGGTTTACTGAAAGCATCTTAGTACAAAGATAATTCTCAAATGGTCGAGTGAGCATCACACTGAGCACTCCCTCTACCAGAAAGATGGTCTCATCACTAATATACAGTATTACATCAATAATACTGTATTTTGCACTTTGGTTAGATGCTAACTGCATTTCATTGGCTCTGTACCTGTAGTCTGCATAATGACAATAGATTTGAATCTAATCTAATCTAATCTACTCTTGGGAAACCCCTTATACTTCAGAGCATCCAGCAACATTCTGAGGGAAAATGTACACAGGAGCGTTTCTGTTGACAATGGCAGCAATTTTTAAAAATGTTATTCATTCTCCTCATAGAGAAAAACTGCTCTGACCCAGAGCTCCTAATATGGTCATACGCTGACTACACAATGATGTACGACTGCAGAGGCCTATTAAACTTTAATGTTTCCTTCTGATGAGTTTCACAATGCTAACTTAGCACAACTGTAGACTAAACTCAGCTAGACTGATCAAAGTGAAATTACACAACTCAGAGACATCTCTTGTATACCATGATTCACACTATTTTTTCCTCCATAATTCTATTTATTTTTTGTTCTTGTTGCTCCAGACGTTGAATAACTGAAACATGTTTGACGTATGAACTTTGCTTCTTTAGGTTTGCGCTGGTTACTGGCTGTTTTGGGCACATAGACAGAATGTATTCAAATTTGAGGGGTCAAGGATGCTCAGTTACAGTTCTGAGTGCTGATTGGTTGGCAGCTTATTTGCTGAATGAAGCGGTTGACGAGTTCAAAAGCACTCAAAAATATAACGGCAGACTTATAATGTTTTATGTTGTTGTGTGTCCAGGAAATAAACATGTTCTTCTAAAAAAGTTTAAGCATTAACGAACTGATTTTGCTCAAACACTCCATATGAACACATTCATGTTGAACTCGCTCGGGAGCGCCCTCTAGTGTTTAACAGACCCAGAAGACATTACAGAGCGGCGATTCTCCTCTGTACTCATTCTCTGCCCGTGTTGAGCTCATAGACTGTGATTGACCGCAGCGACGCTCCGTTATGAAGATGTTTCCTTTTGAAGTTTAAACTCCATTGTGACCCGAAATGGAACCAACCCGCGACATAAAACGGTCAGAAAAGAACGTTGATCCTCAGTCGTTTACCGACACCCCCAGCGCTGAACGGCTCTTTCTGTGCTCAGAAAACGCGACAGACTTCTGCTTCTTCTGGAGATGAAGACCCCCCTGGCCGGCGTCCTCTCTCTTCCCTCTCGGCTCGGCTTGCGCCCCCTGCTGTTCGTGGCTGGGGCCGCGGCCACCGCCGCCGGAGCTTACTATGTTTTCTTTTACAGGTTTGGAGATCGACAGCGGAGACCGACGACGGAGGAGACCACCGATACCCTCAGAGTCCAGACTGAGGTAGTTATTCAGCTCCACTCACACGAACTAACACTGCTGAAAGTAGCTTATTAATGTTTCTAATCTCGGTTTCCATCGTAGGTCATCACTGAGGACAGCGGGCAGCTGCTGGTCAGCCCTCAGTACTGTGGACCTGTGACTGTATACAGGGTGAGTGAAGCGATGAGGTTGTTTACTTTTAAATTGGATGTATCTGTACATTGTCCACAGGATTCACTGGTGTTAAATTTCTCTCTGAGGGTTTACAGAGACAGTTTAACCGTCTTTTAAAGGTCTTTCAGTGGATCGTAACGTTACTTTATTCTGCCTGTTTGTGGTTTTCTGTTTAAAGGGTCTGTAAACATTGTTATGTTTCAAAATGTACCATTCACTCCCAGTCCATACAGTCCATACAGTCCATATATGGAAACTAAACTCTAAAACAGCCTTTTCAGTATTTATTTTTAGCAGTATTTTGTCTCGTTTGCTAATGTTTGTGATAGCTAATCACAGCTGCTGCACCATTGAAGGTGTAACGGGAACATTCAAACAAGAAGCTGAAGAGGCGAAAAAGAAGCTACATTCAGCCTCATAGTTTTAACACGGGTAGTATTTTTGATAAAGAGTTCTAGGATATCAAAATGTCCCACCTAGAGGTTCTATCTGTGAGCTATGGTAGAACATTTCGATAAGGTAGCACAACTCGTCAGATCACCGCCATAGTGTTAGTTAGTGTGGTGTAGCATAGTGATATCACACTGATGCACAGTAGCTTCAGCTTGCATGTAGCAATGTTAGTATTAAGGCTCGTAATTCGGAGGATCCAGTAATATTCGGGAGAAAAATGTACACAGGAAAAATGTATGGCGTTCTGAACATTTTTATTTAACACAGGGTGTGACAGAGGCTATTGTTCGTAAACCCCGTTTATTCTGGCCATAGAGAAATCGATCTTAGACCCGGAGTTCCTAATATGGGCATAACACGGACTACAGAATGACGCACGACTACAGTGGAATATTCAGTCTACAGCAGTTTAGCTCCGCCCATTCACGCTGACATTAGAAAGAGTGTTTCCACCTGAATAGGTTTTTGAACAAGATACAACACAGGGTAGCCAATGATCACAGAGATCATTTACATAAACCAGTCTTAAAGGCGCAGTAACAAGAACAGCCTGTTCAATACTCTGGTATAAAGGATGGAAAATTGTCTTGTACATAACCTCACACACACATTAGAGGACGTCATACAGGATATGAGCACTTTAATGTAAAGATTATGGTTATAACAAATTCCAAACTAATGAATAAGGTCTTTCATGTTAACATTTTGCTGTATACTTACAAATTTACTGAATAGCTTGCTTTCTATGATGGTATCTCACTACAGTGTCCCAGACAGTTTCTGGAGGAGCTTATCCTGCAGCACTGCTTCAAGGAGGTGCAGAGTTCATTCTGGACTCTGCGCTTCTCTTACGTATCCTGGCACAACCGTGACCAGCAGGTATGCACTTCTGCCTCTGTTCAAGAACACGTTTGGTATTGTTACTCATATCTGCAGCTTCATAGTGTCTTATTTGCATGTGTGTGTATTTTTCAGAGGATGTGTGTCAGGCGGCACTATGTGCTGCTGATGCGGGGGGCAGTGACGTATTCGTGGTGGATCCTCACCAACGATTTCTTCATGTCATCTTCTCAGGTAGAACAGATCTCCCTGTTGTAGTCATCTCCATTAGCATTGTTGTATATGGTAAACATTGTTAGGATTATTCTTCATATTATTATATAAAGACTTGAATTTCTCTCACAGTGCCCCATTTGGTACGCATCAGCGGCACGGATCACCCTCGCTGAGGTAAGACGTTTCAGCCATGTTTATGTTCAGGTCTGGCCTTCTCTTAGAATTTGACTCGCATGATAACATGCTGTGTCTTTTTAGCGTGTTGAGGGTCTCCTGACTCGAGTGGCTTCTTGTGCATTCACTGAGCACCACGTCCCTAAAACATCTGATGGTGTTCAGGTAACCTAAGCATGTTCTAGTAGATACCAACACATCTGTTGTTGTAGAACATTCCCTGAAAAGCTCATACATTGAATTACATCTGAGCACAAGACATTATGCCCTGAGTATGTGTTCTACAGGTGACGGAGGTGTTCTACACTCATCAGTCCCTTATCATCGGACATGATGAGTGGCGTGACTTTGCACACTCGTGGTCAGAAGTCTTTCTCTGTGAACCAGAGCCTCAGGACACTCCTGAGGTAACTAACTTCTGTTATTAGGTGTAATAAGTTCTTTATAGCTGTAACAGATGTTTAGTATTTGGTATTCAACATTTCTGGCTGGTATTACAGGCAGCTGGAGGCAGTGCAGATGTGGACAGAGAGGTGCCCGCTTTGCAGTGAGTACCACATCAGCTTTAATCCTTTTCTTAGTAATTGGAATCTTGGTGTTTCTGTTCATTTTGACTGAAAGATATTTGGTTAATGTGCAAATGCAAAATGTACTCCTTTTCCACAGTGCCTACACACGGATTAAGAGGATTGACAACTTTCCTCTTAAACTGATTGCTCTGCGCCAGGCCTTCACTGTAAGTGGGACTGCATAGATCTACTTTTACACACCTCAAATCTTTAAATAATGATGTGTCATCATTCCTTTACTGACACCCATTTCTCCGTTTCTGTAGATCATTCTGAACAACGCAGAGTGCCGAAAGGACGTCTGTGAGACTGGCAGGAAGATTCTTGGTGACCTCGGCACTCTGAATGCCAGGGTAATTACATGATCATGATCTAAAACAATTGAAGCCTGTAAATTAGTATAATCTGATTTAAATGATTGGTTTCAATATCTTTCTTCTTCCTGCAGGATCTGACTACCTTTCAGCAGGCGTATGATCGGCTGCTGGCGTTGGTTCAGGATCCTTCCTGCCGTGAAGGAATTGAAGTGGAGCTGGCGCAGATTGGGGTGAGTTCCATTAACTAGGCTGTAACCTAAAACTTGGTGTCACTTCTGTTCTGTAACACTAATGTTTCCTCATACTTTCAGATTCATCACTTCAGCTTCATAGACATCGTCTATGAAGTGGTGATCTTCGGAGTTCAGTGTGGAGTGAGGCCTCAGATCTGTCCAGTAAGAAATCTTTACAGTTTTCAGAGTGGAATGTGTGTGTTGTGTCCTAGAGATCAGGGTTTAGACAGTATGGAGCAACAGAATGCTGATTTAGCGGCAGCATCCTGGTGTCATTTTCGGTAAATTATCCAACCAAAAACTTTACTCTAGAAGGGGGTTGATACATAAGTGTCCAGAGGAACTAACCAGCGTTGCTCACTTCTTTATTCATTTCTCACATTGTTGCAGACGCCAGGAGGATTTCTTGACCATCTGTTGGTCATGATCTCCTCTTTCTCTGCGTCCACCGAGCAGAGCAGACCCAGAGCTGAGCAATACAGACTCATGATCCAGGTAAAACTTAGAATCCATCACAACACAAGTGAACATCACAACTCTCCTCCAGACATTCAGAGCAGAAATTATGAGAATTTGTTTTGAGACGTTTTGTTTTCCTCATTTAATAACCATCTCTGTTCTCTGTGTCTCAGAATGCGATGATGCGCCTCCTGGAGGACATCTTTGCCCTGGAGGAGTCTGTATATGAGCATCCTGAGTCTGTGGCCGAAGCTGTGTGGAACTTGGTTGTGGACCAGTTTGATGAGCTCTTGGACAGGCTGAAGAACATCGAGCCAGAACTCTTTTAAATTCCTTTTCAGATTTCACCTCTCCTTACCTTCCCTACTATCTCTTTTTCACCATTAATATTAATGTTTTACTTAAATATATTTAATGTTAAGACTCCTTAAAGAGCCCATATCCTACATTTTTCCACTTTTAAAATTTCTGTGCCAAATTTCATTTCTGCATTACCATTTTCAAACCTCCCTTTGTCCAGTAGAATTAAACAGGCTTTTTTGTTACATTGCCTTTAAGACAGATATATATAAATGAACTGTCTTCAGATTGGCTTCTTCCTATTGTGCCTAGTTCAAAAAACACTTCCTATAGCTTCAGCGTAAATGGGCGGGACTAAACTGCTGTAGGCTGAACAGGCATGTATATAAATGTGTTGTTTATTGTGAAATCGCAGATACGATGATTTAAAATCAGGCTGTTTTTTCACTGTAGTTTATATAAATGGACCGTCTGGACTGGGAAGTGAATGGTACGTTTTAAAACTAACTGTACTACATCAAACTCTTTCATTCAGTTATCATGATATGGGCCCTTTAAGACTGTTCACTGTAAATGAATGTATTATTAGTATTTTAATCAGTTTTGTATAAGAGCTGTTTTAGTTGTATTTGTGTGTTTTTGTTATATGAGGTAAGGCAAAGTGAGGTTCATTTTAGTTTGCTTTCTATTGTTGAGCGTTGTTTTATTACATGATATTAGCATTTTGTATTTTAAATGATGTTTGCTTTCTCTCTCCACTCTTTCACTGTTTCTTTGCAGGATTTCCACTGGATCTGCAGTCGTCTTGTATGGTGTCTGATGTGTTGTGAGTCCTGTACAATTTAAAAGTCCTCTGATAAAAGGACTATGTATTAGATATTATTTAACCATTTAAGTCTATTTTTGTTTTTTTAGGTTTGAGCCAAAACACTGGTACATCAGAATATTAAACAATTTGATATTATAACACTGTCAGTCTAAGAATGTCATTAAAAGTATTAAATGGCATTAATACTGAAAAAAATGAAGACTTCTTGATAAATTCTCCAGTAAATATGTAGCATGTTTTACATGTATAATGTGGTGCCTCAGCTCTTTGTCTCTGTATTTGCAGTGGTTGCCGCTTGTCATTTGATGCTGCACGCTAGGGAACGCTGACCACTGATGTCCTCCATGTTATTCCACCATCTATTAGTGGACACCAGTCAGTCCAGTAGGGCATGGACACTGCTGGACTGACTGGTCTCCACCACCACCACCCGTAAGTAAATGACCCACTAAATCAACTTTAACACATTTTACTATATTCATTATTATAGAACTGTATGATGAGATGAGGAGGTCAAATACAGTCCACCTGATTTCACACTTTTGTCTTTTCTTCCTCTTGTTTCTTGTTTCTATACGTCGGCATGATGGAGCCTCACCACTGCAGTTCACACTGAGCCAGGCAACAGGAAACCTTATTGACGGCCACTGAATGACAAGGTAAAGCAACTCAGACCACCATTTCATTTCTTTTTTCTGTCATTGCCTAAATTTCTCCATACTTATTCTTTATAAACAAGTCTCCACACTCCACATCAGGTTCTAAAGTCAGTGTCTTTGAATGAGTGTCTTCCCCACCTGACTGTGATTGATCCTAGTGACCACGTCATTTATTCTGAGACCTCCCCCTAGCTGTGATCGGTCCTAATCACAGCATTATTTGTTCTGAGATCTCCCCTCATTGTGATTGGTCCACTCTGCTTAGTGGGCTTCTCGCAGTGCTGAGACTTAGACCAGGTTCTTCTTAAGAATATTCACATCATCATGTTCTGCGGTAGTTCGACTTCATTTAGTTCTTTTGTAATTTGACGTACAGCTGGTTTTGGAAACAAGGCAAGCTACAAGCACTGTATTCACTATGGCAAGTAATCCCTCTGTTTCTTAATTAAGAAACACTCTTTTTCTTGTTTTTTTTTATTTTCTTTGTTGCATGATATTTGCATTTTGTATTTTAAATGATGTTTTCTTTCTCTCTCCACTCTTTCACTGTTTCTTTGCAGTCGTCTTGTATGGTGTCAGATGTGTTGTAAGTCCTGTACAATTTAAAAGTACTGTTTATTAGATATTATTTAACCATGAAAGTCTGTTTTTCTATTTTTTAGGTTTGAGCCAAAACACTGGGTACATCAGAGTATTAGACAATTTGATATTATAATACTGTCAGTGTAAAAATGTCATTAAAAGTATTAAATGGCATTAATACTGAAAAAAATGAAGACTTTTAGATAAACGCTCCAGTAAATATGTAGCATGTTTTATATGTATAATGTGGTGCCTCAGCTCTTTGTTTCTTTATTTGCAGTGGTTGTCGCTTGTCATTTGATGCTGCACGCTAGGGGAACGCTGACCAGTGATGTCTTCAGTGTTATTCCACCATCTGTTAGCAGACACCAGTCAGTCCAGTAGGGCATGGACTCTGCTGGACTGACTGGTCTCCACCACCACCACCCGTAAGTAAATGATCCACTAAATCAACTTTAACACATTTTACTATATTCATTATTATAGAACTGTATGATGAGATGAGGAGGTCAAATACAGTCCACCTGATTCCACATTTTTGTCTTTTCTTCCTCTGTTTCTATACGTCGGCGTGATGGAGCCTCACCACTGCAGTTCACACTGAGCCAGGCAACAGGAAACTTTAGTGACGGCCACTGAGTGACAAGGTAAAGCAACATAGAACACCATTTCATTTCTTTT